TTTTTTTTTTTTTTTTCACTTGTGTTAAGGTGTCATGGCTCCAGAAACTAGTGCCTTAACCAAGGTAATGAAGATTTACACCTGTGTTCTCTTCCAGGGTCCCATTTTGAATTATTTTTTCGTGTCCGGTGTTAGATAGGGATCTTTCTTTTACATCTAGATATCCAGATGCCCTAATGCCATTAGTTGAAGACCCCTTTTCCCATTGTCTTGATAGACTTGTCAATCAGCATACAAGTAAGGGGTTATTTTCTGGACTCTCTATTCTATGCCACGGGTCTGTATGTGTAGTTCTCCTTCTAGCCCCCTCCCGTGGTTTCCATTAGCATTTCCCTCCAAACACACACATTCTAAGCTTAACACTCAGTTATCGGCAGATGGCAAGTTCCCGAGCCTCTGGACCCCCTCCTCCTCGGGACCGAACAGAGCCCCTATTCCAAAATTCTGGCGCCATCACAAACTAGACCGGGGCTCTCTTGAAGTTCAAAGCTGTGCTGTATGCATTAGTTTCTCAAGCCCAGCCCCACACCCGGCAGGTTGTAGGAACTTGGTGGTTAAACGGCAGGTAGATGAGTGGCCAAACGAAGGAAATGAACACTGATGTAACCCAGCGGCTGAATGGCTAGTTCAGCGAAGTTTCTGACTCTGTGCCACCGTGAGGCTGAGGACCCTGAGGAAACGATTTTATGGGAAAATCTGTACAGAAAAGTTGGGTATCGAATTCACATCATCAGCTAGTTTCTTCTGAAAGGCTTAAGAGCCAGGTTTTTAGGAGACTCAAAAGAATACATATGGCCCGATTACTTCCTGGGTATTTCAAGTATAGAAAATGCCCCCAACTGAGTCAAACAGATGTTAATCCCCCTTTTTTTAAGCTTATGTATTTATTTTTAGAGAGACACAGAGACAGCTCAAACAGGGGAGGGGCAGAGAGAGAGGGAGAGAGAGACAGAGGAAGAATTCCAAGCTGACGCCCCACTGTCACCACAGAGCCCGACGGAGGACTTGAACCCGTGAAACCGTGAGGTCACGACCTGAGGCACAACCAAGCTTAACCAACTGGGCCACTCAGGCGCCCCCGGATGTTGATCCTTTTAAGACAGCATTGGACTAAGACGTCAGTCTGTGGTTAAACATAAGCACCCAGTTTGCCATTTTCTCTCCGAGACCATCATCCTGAAGTCATCACTATAACCCAAATTATATCTGTGGTCCTTCATCACACGCATGAATTCCTTCAAGACCCAAGGCTTGACGAGGGCTTCTGATGGTTCGTAAAGTCCTGCTGAGAATCTTGGTGCTGTACATGTGAACACAGGGAAAACCGTAGCAATTTGAGGAGAAAGAAATGTGGGTGGTACAGAACCTTCAAACATCTAGTAAAACGGCCAAATATTTCTTGGCTGGTTAAACCCTTCAACGCCTGTGAACTGGAAGGGGCCAGGGCAAGGGTCTGGGGTCGGTAATAAGATAGCAGGACTCAACCAATTCCTTTGGTCCCTCATTTTTATTATTTCTCAAGGAGACTACGAAATACGATGTGATCTTCACTAAACAGTGAGGCTGATTTAAATACAAAACATTTAAAAATATTTTTGCAGGGGGGGTGGCTCAGTCAGTTGAGTATCTGACTCTTGATTTCGGCTCAGGTCAGGTCACGATCTCACCGGTTTGTGAGTTCGAGCCCCACGTCGGGCTCTGCGCTGACAGCACGGAGCCTGCCTGAGATTCTGCCTCTCAAAATAAATAAACTTCAAAAGTTTTTTTGATGGTTATTATGGTCCCTTAAAAAAAAAAAAAAAAAAGAAAGAAAGAAAAAGAACCAAAATTCAAGTATTTCTTCAGAAAGGTTGCATGACATTTCTCCCACCAGACCCGGTTTTGTCCCTTGAATCTCCATGGCATGGCAGATGGGTCCAGAAACCCAGCACTGACTCCCAGTATAGTGTCAGCCACACACCCAGCCTTTTAACCCCAAGAGCGTGACTCACCGTAGCAGCGGTTTCCCGCTCCTCTCGGCCCCAGGTCGCAGCCCTATCGGCCAGCTGGGGACACGCCTGAGCCTTAGAGACCTAGCAGCTGGATTTGTGCCTTGTTGTTGCAATTCAGAATTTTGACCCATTCCCGACCCGTGGTTTCCAGTTGTCAGAAAATGAGCCTCCTGCTTAAGAAGTTTAAAATAAATCTGCTGTTTTCAACATAACTTGAGTGACCCCTGATGTACAAAGGACAGGAAGGTAAGCAGCTGCCCCACATTTCCATTAGGAGGAAGCCACAGACCAAAGAGATCACTTGTGTCACAGAATCCTTATTGGTTGGGTGGAGGGTGGGTAAAAGACCGAATGCTGTCCCCTCCCCCCATCAGGTCACGTAGAGAGGAGCAGCACTGTGTACGCGATGACCCACGCCAAAGAGGACTTCACCTTCACGTCTCAAGATGTGAAACAAGGCTGGCCTGTTGCCGTGGGACGTTTCTGCGGGAAATTCAAAGCGACTGTGCTAATCCTCTATGTGAAATGTGTACTTGAAAGCCTACAAGGACAGCGGAATTACAAAGTAGTGTTATTTGAGAGGATTTGAGGATTGTAAGTTAACGTCTGAAAAGCAAAAGCTCTCCCTCCTCTAATTTGATGGAAGACGGTCTGCAAGTTGACTGCTTCCCGAGCCACGTGATCCCTGAAAGCGTGCCTCACATTCGTCCCTTTAGGACAGGGACCCATCGCTTACCACCAGGGATGGGGACCCTGATTCAAATCGAGGGAAAGGCCAAGCACCTGAAAAGTCACTGACTACCTCAGAACACATTTGAGTCACCCCAAATCCACAGTCCACCCTCTCCAGCTTCCTGGCCTAGAGTCGGCACACGCGAGCGAATCCACACAGGCCGAGGAAGGGTCTGGAGAAAGATGACAAAGCTAGAAGGATTTCTGGTCTCTAGCAGGCGGGATTCAACTCCGTGTCTCTGAAAACGGCTCCCTGTTAACCAGTCTCATCAAGTGCACGCCCCCTCGGCGGCCCCGGCCCGGGCCGACTACCACCAACATCGACTATTTGATTCCGAAACCCGCCGAGGGCTTCTTGTAAGTTGCACAGCTGAGTGCCAGGCAGCGAGCCCCTCCCTGCCGGCGGACAAGGGCTGGGAAGGTTCGCACAAACTGGGGTAATGGAGCCTAGGCAAAACCCACGGTGACAGCAGACGGGGACAGGGGTCACATCGCAGGGATTCAAGGAAAACCAACAAGATAGGGAGCACCAAGAGTTTCCTCAGAAGCCGTTACACTTTAATAACAAGCAACCACACAGAAGCACTGTATTTTCCCTCTGTTACATTAGCAAATACATGGAAAAGCAACTTAAAAAATGGGTCTCCTTCACAACTACTCTTTCCCACGCCCACCAACATCCGTCAGAATTGCTTGCGGAGGTTTTAACAAGTATTTAAGTCTGGGCCTCACTCCTCGAGGAGACTGCGCCGGGCAGGGGCGGGATCCAGGCATTTTTTAAAAAGCTCTTTAGGGAGTCTGGAGGATTCCTTCTGCTTGAGTCTCTGATTTTTAGGTCGACTGGGGCACTCTGGACTTTTTGGGCCACTGTTTGGGGGCGTGGGGGGCTTTTTTCGCAGACTTACTAGGAGTAGTGAAGAACTTGGCCCCTGGCTTTTTGGTCACCTGTCTTGGGTCTTTTTTGCCCAGTGAAGAGTTTGGTTCTTTTCCCGCCTCTTCTTTGATTCTTGGCTTCTTGCCCGGGCTGCTACCTGGGGTCTTCGGCTCCGCAGCCTTCCGGGTCTCGAAACTGGGAAGGGCCTTTCTCTTCTTCCCACGAGGTGCGCTGGGATTGGGACTCTTTTTTGGAGACTTCTTTCCTGCGGCTTGTTTTTGCATCTAAGAAAAATAAGAGTTAAGTGCAGGGAAAAACAGCCCCTGACAATGGAACTCCGAGAGTGACTGTCTTCACCAGGTCTGAAAGGTTTTACAGGCAGGACCCAGCACCCAAGCTTGCCCTTGCCCTGGTACATTTCCAAAGATTAATCATGTGGTGATCCGGGACTCACTGTCAGAAACTGAACCAGTGCCCAAATGTCTGCCCCGGCCTGCTTTTGAAAACCACAGGTGATGTGTCCCAGAATTATTAACATGACCACCCCTCCCCTGAATCCTAGATACACAGACAAATGTGTTCACTGCACATCACTCCAATACAGGGCAAAGGAAGCCCCTCCCAGGCTTCTGGGTCTACTTGGTAAGTTTCATCTATGACCTCGGGATCTTTGCTACGACAGATTCTGCTGGAAATACACTAGGGACAAACAATGCCCCCGTCCTTGCAATGCCTCTTACACGCATGGCTCAGCGGGGCCTGCCTGACACACGGGGGCACTGAAGCCATCGGCCACTAGCACCAATAGAAATACCTCTCCGTTTTCTTTCGCTGGAGTCCTCTCTATTGGTACCAGTTGAGGAAGCTCCTCTTCGGATTCGTCCTGCACTTTATTCTGGGCTTTTACTCGACTGCTCTCTTTCTTCCCACACGCTCGGGCCTCCTTCGGGGGTGCGGGGTCCTTCACCGGAGCACCACCAGTCCCAGGGCCTGCCTCCTCTTTCTTCGGGGCCGACGAGGCCTTTCTGGCCTGCTTCGTAAGCCTTTTGCTTCTTTTCTTCTCCTTTTGTTTTTCACGATACTCTTTTTGTTTTTCTTTTTTCTTTAATTCCTACCAAAACACCAAACAAAAAACCCAGTAACAAAAAAGCCACACCAAACTCCAAGCCTAACTTTAGTAGGGAATACACTTGTTGGTCAATAAATGTCATAGACTTAGAACTTGCAATTCTCATTATTCATAAGCTTCTGGAAAGTGCCTTGATCTGTGGCAACTCTAAGCAAACAAACCACAACACCAGCACTGGAACCTCAATTGCACTTGGCTCTCACAGAACTACATATGGGGACTTGGAAGCAATGAGGTGTGCAGTCAGAGCTTCTGCAAGGTGATCTGATTTATAGGTGAGTCAAGAGTTATCCTAGGGATGCCTGGGTGGCTCAGTCGGTTGAGTGTCCAACTCTTGAATTCGGCTCAGGTTGTGATCCTAGGGTTGTGGGATCAAGCCCTACATTGGGCTCTGTGCTTTGTGCGGACTGTGCTTAAGGTTCGTTCTCCCTCTCCATCCCTCCCTCCCTCCCTCTCCCGCTCTCTCTCTCTCTCTCTGTCCCTCCCTGGCCCGTGAACGGGCACGCGTGCGCGCACACACACGCACGCACACACGCACGCACACACACACACACACACACACTCTCTCTCTCTCTCAAAAAAAAAAAAAAAAACCTAAAAGGAAAAAAAAAAAAGAATTATCCTAAATTGTAGAGTATTCTGATGTGAATTACATCTCAAAACAGTTTTAAGAAAAAAAACTGATAATTTTTCCCTACTTCAGACTGGGGCAGCAGTTAGATTAAGAAGTTTATAGAACCAGGGGTCCACTGTCCTTACCATAGACCACTGTTAAATGACCCCCATAATAGTGTGTAAATTCCATGTTAGCCAACAATTCCAACATTTTTGCAAACTCCTCAAATCAATGTGCTGACAGATGGCAAAAAAATTCACATGTCCGGCTTCTGATAATGGCAGTCTTTTATTTTGGGTCATTCTCCCAATGAAAACAAGTAAAAGTGGGATGAAATACTTAAAAATTTTTTTTCTTAAAGGCATAAATGAACCAACTACCTGTGAGACATCTAAAATAAGGACCCCATGGGTAAGTGAGTCCAGAAGCAAATTTTGCTGTGAGTACTGGCTAATCAATAATTTTTGTTTTAACAGGGGGTGGGGTGGGTGGAAAGATATCAAACTCCAGTGTCCACACCAGGCAGGGGTCCTAGGAGGACCCCCCCCCCACCAATAAGCTGGGACCCTATTGAGTCATGCTCTCAGGGCAAAGATGAACAGAAGTGGAGGAGTGCAGATTCTCGGCATGGTTTGCTCCGAATCACTCAGGGAATCTCAAGCCTTTGATCTGCCTTCAGGGAGTCCCAGGCCAAGGCCCAGAGACTTAAATGGAAATCTTCTAGAGAAAGATCTTCACCCTACACCTCAAATTAGTTCTACAAATAATGTTCCAATGCGACAACCACGACATTGTCAAAGATGACCGAGTCCACAAGGAACCAAAGGGCACAGAGAACAGGCTGGGATACCAGGATCTCCACTACTCCAATGACCAGACAGTGAAGCAACTGTGCTTAAAGTGTTCCAACAATGAAGGTGAACAGGAGGACTGACAGGTAACAGGAAATTAAAAGAAGTAAAGCCAGTGTGAAAAAGAACAAACATACAACTTCCAGAAGCAGGGGGTGGGG